GGATTCTAATCCTCCCCCACTCTATCCAAAACTAAAACAAATGTTTTGGGTATACATACACTTTAATCCTCTCCTGGCCAGAGCTCATTAAACCCTCAGTGACACCGCTTCAGAAAATGTTTTTGCTTCTGGGGACCGGAGCAATTTTGCCATTTTTTGCTATGTGTTTGTATAACCATTATTTCCACCTTCCTCATTCATTGCACCTAAACATATTATATATAGTTTTTTAAAGGACAAAATTGGGTGTAAATTGATGTGACATATGCATGTAGAAATTCTTATTTTTTTTCTTTAAAAAAAATACAAAAAAAGGAAGAAAAACCCCCAAAAACAATGTTTTCACAGTTTTGGCAATAATAATGTGTACATAAATAGCGTAGTTAACAGAAAGTAATTCATAATAAATTCTTATATTTCTCCTGATTCACAGGCTATACCATACGTCTGGGATTTCAGTTTGTTTTGGGAGTTATAGGTCACAAAATACAATTTTAGTGTGTAACAATTTGAGAATGTTTGTCTCCTATGGTTAATAGCCTCCTCGGCACTATATTTCCTTATAATTGTTTTATTAAATGTTTCTTTTTCAAACTTTTACTGACTTTTTGAAAAATGTTTTCTTTTTTTAATTATTAAAAGTTTTAAAAACCTTATTTTTGTATTTTTAAATTGTATATTTTTTTTACAGATTATGCTAAATATTTTTTAAAGAAGTATGCATTGTGTCTTCTGTGTAAAATGTGACTTGCAGATAGTCTGCGAGGTGTCATTGGATAAATACAATAAATCAATGTATTGTTTTATTGTATTTACCATTTCATTCATATGTAGATTAAAGATATGACCCTTCAACTGCAGATTACATCAGTTAAAAGAAACCTTACAAGTAAAAAACATTTTTTTTTTAAACAAAATGTGTTTCTATTTAACCCCTTTATAATCTGTAGCTAACCCCAATCATCTATAAATAAGTCCTTTCTCTGCACCTCCCCATAGCTATTATTTTTCTGCTGATTTTTTTTCATACTTCTATTTTTTTACCATTAATATTTATTTTTTTAATATATATTAGTTATGTCAGTTTATTACTTTATGACGCATAACAAGAAAATGCACAAAATTGGGAAAAAATTGTTTTTTTTATTTGTAAAGCTTTTTGCCAGAAACATCATTTTAGTGTCATTTTAAAAGGAACAAATTTGAGAATAAAATGTATATTTTCATGTACAGTGCATTAAAAATGCTACACTTTTTAAAGACTCCATAGAAAATAAAATAATCTTTGCAAGACAAGTATTGCCCACAAAGAGCCTGGTTGTTCCAAAATAAAAATAAATGTATTACTTTCTTATTCTTAAGTAATGGCAACGTTATGGCCACAGGCTCATGGTGGAAATGAAAAATTTACTTCTGTACAGTACTAACTACATAGCTATGTGGTGCTTTATACAGTGCTGTATAGTGCCACTGCTACAATACAGTGAATTGCAGTGTGGTAGGCTAGAGAGAATGGAGTGTACCCCCTGTTTTCACAGAGCCACATTACTGTGAATTACATTGCGGTGTGTAACACCCTTTCCAATAATATGCTTTGCGACAATATTTAACCCCAAAGCTGCAAGCTCTAACTTAGTGTGATACTAAATCAAAAGACCTTTTTATGTATAGATGTGCCACGCTCTGTGTTATAAAACAAGAAAAAACTCAAAATCAACCAATCCACATGTGCAGACACTAGTCATGTAGCACAAAGTACCATGAAACATAAATCACATGAATAGTCTTTACAGTGATTATTGTTGTGTCCTTAATTCGTAATCCACATCCACTGTGAGCTTAAATCCAAACAGTGCCTTCATCTGTACACCCTTAAGAGTGCCGCTCACCTGCCAAAAAGACCAACAATCTAGGTCATAAATCACACATTCCCTTTTATATTGTAGGCGGGATAGAACCTTAAACGGTGAACTATTGATTATCCTTAATTCCTTCTTGTCAGCAGTGATAAACACACCAGGAGGATCAATCATTCCTCCGTTTCTCTCCTTATTACGCTCCCATGTTCATGTACAAAACAAATAAACAATCCATAGCGCAAACCGCTAATGTAAAATAAAACCGTTTATTAGATAAAACTCACAAGTAGAATGAAAAAATCCTTGTGTATCAAATGGCTGCAGCCACAGTCCTCTGCATTCCTGCTAGCCTCCGACAGTCTCAGGCTCCACCCTAAGTATGTTACGTCAATGCGTGACTTCATCAGGGGTATGGACCTGAGAGAGTCCAATCCGTATAATAAGCAGTTGGATCACTATGGCAACAGCGTAGTGTCAGCAGCTCTTTCAGCTTACCATATAACAAAATAACAAGTAATGAATAACAAATAATCATTAAGGCTGGGTTCACACCTAGGCGTTTTTCCGCGCTTTCGTACTCGCGGAAAAACGCTCAAACAGGGAAATGCCATTATTTTCAATGTGCATGGTTCCCATCGGGGCGGTTTTCTGTGAGTACGAACGTGCGGGAAACCGCCCTACGCCCAAAGAAGTACATGTACTTCTTTGGGGCGTTTTGGTCGGGCGGTTCCATTGGGATACAGCCAAGTATCCCTCGAAATCGCGGTAAAAAAAACGCGTGAAAAACGTGCATATTCAATCCGCCTAGGTGTGAACCCAGCCTAAGGCAAATGTAAACATCTACAAACTCTCCCTCTATCCCATGTCTGCCCTTGGATGACAGCATCCCTCACTGTAGACACAGTGCCGACACGCAGAATCGGAGCCTTGGACAAGAAATCCCATTTATTTCTAGAGCCCCCTTCACACCTAGCGTTGCAGGTAAAAAACGCCTGTCACTGTAAAAGGTACATGAGCTTTTTTTTTTGGCAAATCAGCGCGATGTGTAGCCATAGACTGAAAAAGAAACGCTTGGAAAGGCGTGGCACAATTATTTTGGGCACATTTTACACGCGTTTCCCATTTGCATCAATATGCCACAATCTGCTCACAAATACAAGCGACTTAGGAAAACGTGCAAAAACGAGCATAAAAAACATGCGTAATAGTCGCTGAAATGCTGTTGCCTAGGTGTGAATATAGGAGATAGCGAAGAGAGGCAGCCAGGGGAGAAAGTAAGGAGACTGGCTATAGGGAACTACAAATCCCAACAATGCATAATACAGCAATACAAAATTATATGAAACTACAAACTCTGTGTTTCTCCGGGTTCGTGGCCGGATGTCCCTAGGGTCTCAAGTGGCCTGTGCGGGCTCTCAGGTGGGCTGTGCAACCCGGACACAGCCTTCTAAACCAAGACTGTCCAGGGCAACCCTAATGGCTGCGTCCCCGGAGGTCTGTACATTGACAGCTGACTGTGCCACGGATACCGCACCCCTCCCCCACTTCCCTGACACCACCTGCACCTCACCTCTACCTATTAACAGCCCCAGAACCCATTCCCCTAGCACTTCTCCCCACTACCCCGACACCCCCAGCACCCCTTCCCCTAGCAGTTCTCCCCACTACCCTGCCTGATATTGGAAGTTCCAGTATCGGGATAGGCATCGGGAGTATTTGGGAGAGTATGAGTACTCGCCCAAATACTTGGTATCAGTGCATCGCTAACATGTAGGATAAAAAGCTGCATGTTGTGTGTCCCTGCTACAATGCTTTCTACTCCGACTGATTTAATGCTGACTGCACAATATTACTAGCTGTTGCCTCTCACATAATCCACTGTACTTTTTATTTCTTGATAAAAATGGCCTTATCGCTTTAACTTTGCTGCCCAATCAGCCTGCTTACATACTAACTGCACTATAAGTATGGCTAGTGTATCTGAAATATGGCACTGACTGTGGTTTTTAATTTAATTTTGTGTGACATTTTATTAAACTTTGTAATACATTGTAGTACTGCAATAAACGAAGCTCAAAAGCTATGCTCTGAAACCTGTTTTACCACTGTACGGCAATTAAGTATAGGGATTAAGCTTTATTTTATTTACCTGTGTAAATTTTTTAATTGCTTTTTAATGTATTCTGTCTACTACTTCATCCTCTCAATTCTGGCCTATAACTGTTAGATAACCCTCTTATTGCATGCCTTGCCCAGAAACATGTGCAATAAGGGTGATTCATACATTCCATTCTCAGCTGCTCTAAAGTAGTGTTGGGACAGAAAGAAACTTGCCCCAGACCACTTCCTAATTGAGCATCAGTTTAGAGTGAAAATCTATTTCATCTTCAGTACTACATCTGTCAAACTGCCAAGGATATCAAGTTTAAGGATTACAAATACACAGAAAAATGGTTGCGTATACTTGTTTGATTGACAGGTAGCATGCTTTGCATCTCTGTGTGCCTAATTTGTTTCATAAATGTCCTCCACACTGCATTAGCAATATAAATGTTATCCAGTTAGGATTTGATCCACTAACATTATTAAGGACAACAATGTCAGGCAAAAGCTATGCCTTACTCATGCACCTATCTTCCAAGGCTAGTGCGTGCTCGCATATATATAGTAGGGGAGACCATATTTTGCCGCCTAGATGCCCATGTTAAAATTTCATTTCGATGCTTGCAAATATGCTTTTATTTTTGCAATAAGACCATGGCATCAAAGAGCACAACTGCAATGTTTCACTTTTACTAATAAAATTTCTTATAAATTGAGGAATTTCTAGTAACAGGTTAAGTAATCATCACTACTGCTTGGTATGGATTTTTACAAAATTAGGTATTTTTGTGGTTATTTTGTAATCGTGCCTACTGAGTGAGCTTTGCTTATTCTTTATGTATTGAATACAATTATTTTGATGTGTAAACCTTCATCAAATGAAAGTGAAAAACCATAAGGAAAACTAGAAAAAGCTGTTTCACAGACAAAAACCCTCAAACACACATGCAGTATCATCATGTAACTTTAAAAGGGGTTGTACTACTGTATCATATTGTTAATCTTGTTTTTGTATAGTTAAAACATATGTGTATGAAATCACATCTCAGTCCTGTACAGAGTTTTATGCCTCAAATATTCTTCTAGGCATTGTATTGCCATATCGTCCACTGTGGGGTCAAACTTATGGGCAAAGAGGTGATGTTTTCTTACCAACCATGGCAAATCTCCAAGTCCATAGATACAAATGGAATGCTGGTGAGTTCCAGTGCATGGTGCATATACAGCCCCTTTATATATATTTCCTTCATTGCGTTCCCACTTAACCAGCCTTGCAATTGAATGCAGGTCTGAAACATCATATTTTTTATGATAAGGTATGGATCCAGGTACTTTAGGTTTGCGGTGCAATGTTGCCCAAACATGCTCGTCTGGGTGATAAGTATCCTTCTCCCATCTAAGGAATTTTTGAATTTCTAAGTCTTCGAGTATGTACTTCACAAAATCTCTCGTGACCACAATATAAGCACTGCCTGAAAACATTGGAATGCCAATTGGTGGAAAGGTTTTTTGTGTGTTGGTTCTAATAACAGATGCTTGCACCTCATGGTGAAAAAACCATCTTGAGAATCTTGGAGGTGCTTTCATGGATTCAAGATTATTCCTACCATTTAATAACTTCAGAGCTCTCACAATTTCAGCATTAGTCTTCAGCGGGAAGTCCATTCCACAGGTATTTAAAAGGTATTTCCACTGAATGCTGCTTTTTATAAGGTCCTCCATACAGTTGAGATCAGCCTGGACTCTCGACCATGAAGCATAGACCACACTTTCCAGCTTAGATGCCACAAAAACATTATTGAAACATGAGACGATGCTTCGCACGGCCTCTTTAAAAGTCTCTGGAGATTTAGCATCTACATGAACACAATAAATATTTTGAGGGGCATATATTGACCTTAAAAGCCGCTCAAACATTTCAATCTTTTCGTGGATCACCATAGAGTAGGCAATGGGAAATGCTTCCTCTTCCTTGCTCATTGAAAAGGAAATAAATTTTCTGATGGTCCTGTAGTTTTTACAGTCCTTTGTAATATTCAGAAAGTAATCCTCAGATAAAAGTGTCTTCCTCTTCCTTATATTTAAACTGATTACATTTGCATGAGTTGGTCCCATAAAGTCTCCTCTGATAATTTTGGGGCAGTTGATTATTGCCGAAGGTTGTAGCATAAAGGATAACATTTTTTCTTGCAGAGCCTGGTAAATTTGACTTGCGGTGAAATACAGGAGCAGCCCACCAACAAAAATCAGAGGACATTTCTTGAGCAAAGGTAACCAAGAAAGTCTACAAAGAATCATATTGAAAGCAAAGTTGAAGAGATTGCTGAAAATGGCTGTGTGCACTTCTTGCAGTGATACAAAAATATAAAGCATCTGTCTCACCTATTTATGTTTATTTAAGTGGCTCAACTGTTTTCCAGCTAACAGTTCGGTCATTGTCACCTTCTGCTGACATACAGAACAAAAGAACATATATTTGAAAGGTCAGTGCTGATTTCTTAAACAATAGTGTAATGATTTTCTTTGTTTTGTGTACTTTGTACAACATTTAACAAAGTGATATGTGATTTTATCTGTAGAATGGATTTTTCTATAAGATTTTTATATTTTGCTCCATAATAGTTTAACTTGAGTTGGTAGTAAAAATATCTCTAAATTTATACTATTGATCAGACACTGCCCAAAGATCACTGCTTTGCTTCAGAGGCCTGAAGAAAAGTTCAAACAAGGAAACATGGCCCCAAACAACATAGATACACACATACACAGTACACATATTTAACCTGGCCTTAAATGTTGACCTATATAAAAAAAACTGTGAAACTGTGTGAATGAGGCAAAAACAAAGGGAAAATACTTCATTATGGCCACTAGATGGAGCGGAGAATCACGGGATCACTGTACCGCCACTAGCCATCTCACCCCCAAGACTAGGGGCTGGCGTGAAGCTCTGCAGAGACCGTAAAAGATTAATTGACCCCAATCAACTACCTATTGATATTATCACAAAATAATGATTATGGGGTCTATTCACAAAGCTGCCGTAGCTTCGGCTGATCCTTCAGCTAGCTTCGGCCACAGGACCCCTTCGGTTCAGTAGAACCGAGCCGAGGTGAAAGGCGAAGCTGGCTGAACGGCTGGCCATTGGCCGGCCGACAGCCTGCTACTGACGGCTGGGCGGAGCCAGACGTCATCTCACGGCTGGCTCCGGCCACTTGCAGAGACAGATTAGCGTCCCTGGTTACCAACGCTGCCATCTTGTTTAATTGAAGACGTGATGGAGATCGTGTGTGGGGCGGTTTCGGGTCCCTGAAGATTGCGGACGCGGCACAGGTACTCGTTTTTTTGTATCGCAGTATTTGCACGAGTACTCATGCAAATACTCGGTATCGCCGCCGATACCGATGCTTGTATCGGTGCATCCCTAGTCATTATTCTCCCGGATGCTCCGGGAGTCTCCCGCTATAAGATAGCGGCTCACGGCCACCAACTTTCTCCCGGAAAGGTTTACTCTGTTTGATCAAGCAGAGTAATCCTTTCCCTGCTCTTTTTTTTTCTTCTGACATCAGAGCTGCCGGCATCCATCAGTCAGAAAAAAAAAAAACCAGCATAGGAAGGCATAGCTACATTTCTATTGGCTATTTCACTTTGCAATAGCAAACTAGCTATTGCACCCGCCCACTGCTGCTATCAGCAGAGGGGACCTGAAGTTCTCCATCAGGTCCTCTTCTAGTGATTGATAGCAGCAGAGGGCGGGTGCAATAGCCAGCTTGATATTGGATATTGCAAATTGAAATAGCCAATAGGAATCTAGCTATGCATTCCTACGCTGATTTTTTATTTATTCTGACGGCAGCAGCTGTCAGAATACTAAAAAAATAAACTTGCAGATAGCAAAGAAGCTATTGCTTCTTCTGCTATCTGCCATCATTTCAGGGGGGTGCTATCTCCCCCTTGCATTACAATGAGAGCTTAGCAGAGCTGGAGGTGAGATGAAAGCCGATTCTGCTGAGCTCTCATTGTACTGGCAGTTCAGCGTCCCCTGGTTACTTGTGGTGAGCAGCCTAGATGTCTGGATTAATCTACCTATTGTGTTCCTTAAAACACTGTGTGCAAGTGTACCTAGTAGAATTGATGCTGTTTTAAAGGCAAAGGGCAGAGACACCAAAGATTGATTTGTTTTAAGTTTAGAGTGCTACTCAATAAATAAAAACTATTTGTTGCAGTATTTTTAAATGCAACCTCACTTTACAGCCTTTTTAGTACCTAAACCTTGTGCACCATGCTGAA